GCGGTGGAGGCGGCGGCGGCCGCGGTGGTGGTACTGATATCGGAAGCATAATTGGAGGTATTGGTAGCCTCATCGGTGGAGGTGGCGGACAGTACGGTGGTGGAGGTGAGCATCCGCATTCTAGCAGTTTTCTGGTCTTTCGCCAACATTAAAAGGTCGAGTACTAGTTAGATTTATTAAAATGGCTCTTCAAGGAGGAAACATCAACCCAAATCGATTGAATGGAGGAATGGTGAACATACTTGGAAATCTCATCGGTGAAGCCGCACATCGTTTTCTTGGGGTCGATCCAGCTACAGGGCGCATTATCGGTAAGCGATGGTTATGTTATGGATGTTTTCGTTATTTTACTTCTTTTTTGTCAGCTCTCAAAAAGCCCTGTCCCTTGATTTCATTTTATTGAAAATATGGCTATGGCGAACTGATCAGTTTTGTTTTCCACCTTTCATGGGGTATTTTTTCAACTCAGCTGTCCTAGTCGGCGCTGAACTACACTTTATATCTGTAACTCCGTAACAATGTTAGGATATTATCGAATTGCAAGGTTTTAATTCCAGCACCACCCAATGTTCTCTCTTCAGCATTACGGGCAGGGCTCTCTTTTTTGCTGAAAAGTGTTTCGTACTTATTGACCTATTCACCACCCCTAACTTGACCTGGCTTCTCCAGATTGATTTTCAGTTGGTGCGAATTCCGTGACAGCAGTTGGAACAGACAAAGAGGCAGACGAATTCGCATAAGAAATTAGGACCTCCAGGAATATGTCAAGGCATTCAGGGTGATCACAGTCAATGGACTTCTCGTTATTTGAATTATTCGAGGCAGCGATGGTAGAAGGGAGATAGGCGGGAAAAATAAATTATCGGCATAAATGAAAAACGTTACTATTCAGCAAAAATATGCCCCATCGCACTCCCACCCCCTCTCCAAATACTCTTCCCCTGGGTGGCATTTGGGGGGGGGGGGTGGAGTTGAAATAAGTGGTTTTGAACAAGGTTTACCAACACCATTGATGCGATTAACCATCAGAAGGTGGGGCCAGAATCGCCCGAGACCTTCATTAGGGAGGCGCCGCATTATAGCTACCATTATTCGTCCATTCTCGACGAGATGTTCACCCTGAGGATACCGTTAATAGGAGGTGACGGTTTGGCGCTGAGTCATTATATTCTCTGGCAACCCAGCGGTGATCGAAGTACTTCATCTTCAGTCTAGATTTATGATTTCCAAAATAATGGTAACAAAGCGAGTGCATGGCGCAATCGACTGTCAACAGGGTCTAACTCATGGCTGTCTTGGAATAGTGCTAGATGGACGATGGCTTTTTCTCGGGGTATCTGAATTTCACGTCAGAATTCTCGATTCTTGTTGGAGGTGTTGAAGAGAGTCACAGTTCTCAACTAAGTGCCTGCCGTTCCCGCGTTTATCCTTGTGGCAACGTTATAATGATTCTTGAGGCATCCGTTGAAAACACAAACTAACCTTTGACTTTACCACTTTGCTAACTTATGGGTTATGCGGATTACCTACAGTGTGCGTCACCAGAAGTCCTGAAGTCAATGGAAAGGGTCATGGGGCTGAACTTGCAAATAGGTATTGTAAGTAGCCCAAGTCCTAAATTTTTCCGGAACTAACAACCCTTATTACATTTCTGTGTTATCCTTTTTTGAAAAGCCTCTGCACAAACTTTGTTATTTCCGATTTCAGGAGCTGTTGCTGGAAATGTGATCATGGGTCTTGGTGGTAAGGATAATTCGCTGGGTAATATTGGTAAAATTATCCTCGACAACATTATCTCCGGAAAGTTCAGGCGAGATGTGAGCGAACTCAGCTGCGCTTTTTTTGAGGATTTCTATCCTTATTTATTCCGATATGCAGGTAGAGACCCGTTCGTTCGTCCGGAACCAAGACCAGATCGCACCGGTGGAATTACGCCAATACAGCCAATTCCTTCTCATGCACCGCTTGACTTCTATGAAGAACGTGACAAATGCCTGCAGGTGAGATTGTTTTACTTTTAATTTAGAATCCTCCTCCTGGAATTTTTTGTCTACTTCATTTCTTTCAAAGTTAATGTTCTGGCACGGAGAGAATTGTTTGATTTCCAGGAGAAACGCCTCTTTGAGGATCCACACTTCCCTGCTCAGGACAGTTCGTTGTTCTACAGCAAAAGTCCTCCGAAACGAATTGAATGGCTCAGGCCTGGTGTACGTTTTGTCGCTCAATTTTTTGATTGAAAACTTTTCCAAACTCGCTTCTTGAAGGTGGGGAGGGGGGGGGGGTAGAGTGCACACAAGAAGCGGCAATACAGAAGAAAATGGCCCGGTGTAGAATTGTAAGTCTTAGAAAGTAACAGGGAACGATAGTGTGCGGCCACAGGCGTTAGATGAGGACTCCTCGCGGCATGAAAGACAGCAAATAGTGATCAACTTCTGGCGATGGTGAAGCAAATCGGGAGTCATTTTGAAGTGGTAAAGTCAACGCCAGTAAGCTGTCGTTTCCATGGTTGATCTGTAGGGGCTACAGACAATGCTGTTTTAACTTCTGAACATTATATTTAGTTCAGCACAGTTTAGCTGCGCACGCATTCGCGTGCATCACACAGTTCTGCGGCGATGTGGATTGGAACGGCGTAAATTCTCAAACTTGGCCCGATACACTACCAATATTTGATAATGCCATAGCGGATCTTCGCGCTAACCACTTCGATGCACTAAACGCATTTCAACTCCTTCCACTGCTAGCTTCTGTAAGGGTCGTCATCAGGGTATTGAGTTTATTGACGGCAATCGGGCGACGGACTTTTGGCTCGTCCGGGTTGGCACGCGGCAAATTGCGCGGCGAGCGGCGCGGCGATCCCGACGCATCGCGGGAATTCAACACGTCAACGTGTGAAGATTGCGGATAAAATCCGCAAGGTTCTGCAAATTCGAAATGCATCTGAACGGCTGGAATTTTGAGGACAGCGGTGGTTGTAGCAATAGGAAGAGATGAGAAGGAACTAGCATAGTGCTGTTAGGGTCATGTTGTTGGGGGGGGGGGACGTTCCATTTGGGGGATGTGAGTGAGACAATTACTGTGTTTGGGACCGAGACTTAGGGAGGAGAAGGGATTCTGGGGATAGAGCTACCCTAGGACCAAGCCCAGCAGAAGGGTTCCCTGGCGTTCTTCCCCTCTGCTGGGCTTAGTCCTAGTGTCACCTACCATCGACCCTGTTTTGTTGTTTTGTTTTGAATTTTCCTCTGGACGTGAGCGCCTCGATCAGCAAAACATATATAGTTGACATTAAACCTCAACAAGAACTCCCAATTTTAGTGACTCTTATTTGCTTTGATGGTAGTAGTTACATTTACATGAGGTCCTCACTCATCTTGCGCTGAAATCTCCTCACCGATACTGCTGCTCCAATCCCCGTGAGCGGAAAGATTTTCAAACAGCAGAACCATGCGGAGTTTATTCGCAATCTGCACACGCATTAACGTGTTGAATTCTACCCGAAGAACCCGCGAAGCCTTGTCCCGTCCAGATCGCCGCGCGTGCCGCCGCGCAACTCGCCGCGTGCCAGTCCGGACGAGCCAAAAGTCCCGCACCCCGGCATATGGAATCTCCGCTCACTCCGGTGACCCCTGCCCCAACAGCTTTCAACCCTCCCTTCTTCTCTAACTTCAGTCCACTTCTTTCCCGGTCGCCGGGACTTCTAAGAACCTAGTTATTAATTTCGTAGCAAACTCCGCCTACTTTCGGGCACGTTCCGCCCGACAAAAGCGATTGACCCCCATTGCCTCCGCTCACCCTTACCCACTTTTTTTCGGTTGCTGGGACTTCTAGTGAGTCCATTGACGACAGTGGGCTAACTATGTATGCCCCTTTCAGCCACAAAGGACGTCGTGGCAAATATGTATGCCGCAGCGATATGATTGTTTTTTTTTTTTTCGATCATGCAAAGTTTTTTTTTAAACCACTGCTCACATCCTGTTGTCGAGAAACGTGCTCTAAGAAATCGTGCCATTGGTAGTGCTTGATAACTCCACACCAAAATTTTCAACAATAGAGAGACATTCAGAGCTAGAGTTACGTAGGCCTTCCCTGGAGTTCTAGTTCGTTAGATTGGATTGAATGGTAGTAAAATTTTTCAATGACTTGAAAGGTCTTCAAGGGTTTACATATTCACTTTCTTCAGGAAATTGTCCGTGATCCACAGCTTGAGTCAACTGAAGGCCATTCGCGTTTCGATGTGATTCAAGTGAGTTTCATTTTGGTGCGAATTTTTATTAGTTATTTTTGGTACTTTTTCCCTCAGAAAATTTGCTTTCCAGGGAGAACTCGGTGATTGTTGGCTGCTTTGCTGCCGCTGCTAACCTCACCCTCAAGGATGAGCTGTTCTATCGTGTTGTACCGCCAGATCAGTCGTTCACTGAGAATTATGCAGGTTCGTACATTCTTTTTTTTTTCGACTGTATGATTTTTGGAATAATTTTGAATTTTTTCCACTGCTTAATTTCACTTTTATAGTTTGTTAAAAATTAATTTTGAATCAAATTTACCATATTGACGACAGCGCGCGTTTTGGCTTTTTTGGCCACGTGGGACAGGACGATCTTCGCGAGCGCGGCCGCCGCACCTAGCAATCGTAAATATTTGAATGATAACTCTGGAAAGCATCACTGGTACAAAACCATTTCAGCAATATTCAATGCGTAGAAGATAATCGAAGATGTAGTGGCAAAATCCCGATCAAAGGGACGTGTAATGATATGAATGGTGACGCCCAAGTGAAACACATAATTTTTCCATCCCTCTAGTTGTGTTAATTTTATTATTCTTTCTCCACTGACCACGTTTGGCTGCTGGGTGTCATCAGAATAGGAAGAAAACGAGGGATGAACCGAGCTCCCAATTCCGCTGTGCTTAAAAAACTTCTGCTAAACTGGAGCATATTTGATCATACCGTGACCCATGTCGTTTACAGTTATGTTATGTTGTAATCCATAGAATAGAGGCAAGCAAATTGGGAAGAATCCCCGCATACGCTAGAAAAAGGGATGATAAGGGTGAGACGCGTAACGCGTCTCAATGTCCAACGAGGTGCGCAAAGTGAGACGCGTTACCGCGTCTCAATGTCGTCAATGTGTTAAAGCGATAAATTCCTTCGCCGTCAGAGAGATACGAAACCACTCATGATTTTTTGTAGCTTCCAAATGCTGTCAAAGTGACGTTCAGGTATTTTCCATTTCCAATTCTGGCAATATGGTAAATGGGTGGATGTGGTGGTTGACGATCGTCTACCAACATCCAACGGCGAACTGTTGTACATGCACTCTAAGAGTAACAACGAGTTCTGGAGTGGCTCTTCTGGAGAAGGCTTACGCCAAGTAAGTTGAAACTAGTGGCATTCGATTTCAAACCAACTCAACTACTTCTGCCAACTACTTCTGCAATGAAGGTTAAATGCAAGTGTTGCGGAAAAATGTATCTAGTGTCTCATTTCATGGTTAGAATATGATGTTGATAACGGTTGGCCTATAGAAACACTTCAGTTCAGATGGTGTTTGTTCTTGGTTCTGCCGAATCTCTGGCTTATAGTCTGCTGCTCGTCTAAACTGGTTTAACTAACCCTTTTTCTCTTCTACGGAACTGAACCGATGCTGAACTAAAGTGAAGAGGTTGAGGATTGGGGTGCCCCATCAACGAAGTAAGGATAGGACATTATAAAGAACATTGGGCAGTTCACATTCTTCCTTCGAAGTCGGGCAGGTGTAGAAAGTTTGTTGAAAAAGATTTTTGCGCCCACAGTTTTGTGGGAGGGGGGGGGGACAAACCGGGGCCTTTGAAAACGACGATGAGGTGACACTGGGATGAACCCAGGAGAAGGGAGAACCCCAGGAACAACAAAAATTGGTTACATCCTCCTTCCGAGCTCCTTCCCTCTCCAAGGGATAGTCTCAATTAGTAGGTTGACTCACTTGATTGTCCTCCTACGACATGAGCTCCGAGTTGTAATGGAAAATCAATTCACGTTCGTCCTTTGACTTTACTGCGTTCTTATGAACTTCACAGAATAATTGAAATTGCCATTTATCAGGCTGTATGGCTCCTATGAAGCTCTTAAAGGCGGTACCACATCAGAAGCGCTTGAGGACATGACTGGTGGTCTCACAGAGTTCTTCGATCTCCTGCAACCACCAAGAAATCTGATGCAGATGATGATGAGAGGGTACATTTTCGATTGTTGTGCATTATAAAAATATTCAGTGAATTCGGAGATTTGTTGCAGATTCGAGATGGGTTCACTGTTTGGTTGTTCCATCGAAGCTGATCCCAACGTTTGGGAAGCTAAGCTGCCGAATGGGCTTGTGAAGGTGAGCGGAGTATAAATTTACCTCTCAGGTTGGAATAGCCATCAAATGTTCTGACCAGCTGTAATTCGTAACTTCAAGTGTTGTTTGCACTTAATGTTTGTTGACATAGGGTCACGCGTATTCGATCACTGGAATGCGTATTGTGAATGGGCCACGTGGCCAGGTGTGCCTGATGAGAATTCGAAATCCATGGGGAAATGAACAAGTGAGTTGAGCAAAATTTATTGAAGAATGTGTAGGATATTTGCACAAAAATTTGAGATCGGAATTCGGGTAAAATCAAGTTTTTGCCCCTTACCAAGTTCCCTGAAATACCCGGGCGGGGAAAGCTTAAAGCAGCAACACCCAACATCGATTCGGTGAGTTAATAGCGACTGACGATGGCGAGGAAAGGATGTGATTGGACGTCTTTTTTTTGTACACCATCGCATCAGTGCGACGCATCAGTCCATGTCTATCTAACTATCGGTTGTCTTATCCGCTACTCGTAAATCCGCGTTGCATGCTAGGGGTGTGAGGAATCTCCATCCGTAAGTTCAAATTAGCTGCCACCAGGTCACTTTATAAGGCCCTAGCACCACCACCCACTTTCTAGCCGCGCCCAACGGCACATCCGTTCTTGTTTGGCCTTTCTTCCGACCCACAATAGATTCTTCTACACGATCTCATCTAGGGTTGTTGCCTTAGGCGAGAGATTAGAGTTTTTGTGATTTCGCTTAACATCCATTCATTTCCATCTTTTATCTCCTATTTTGGACATAGAAACGTATTTAAAGAAGTACTGAATTTCTAGTGCGCTTATTCCAATTAAATAGATTCATCAAAAATTGCTGTGATATTATTTACCTTAGGAATGGAATGGTCCGTGGTCAGATAATTCGAGTGAGTGGCGCAGTCTTCCGGACAACGTGAAGCAAGACATGGGCCTTAAGTTCGACCATGATGGAGAATTCTGGTATGAGGTTGCATTTACAAGAATGTTCATGAATTCTTCAGATAAAAATTGGTCCTCCTTTTTATTCCCGCTTTTCTCTATTTTCCTTTGAATTCTTTTGTCCTAACGAAGGCAGAGAATAATCTCGACATGCTCTCAGTGTTATCCACACTGTCTTTTTTCTTGACTTTTTCTTTCACTTTACCGGATCTTCTTGTTGTGAGTCCGTTTCTCATACCATATCTCCGCGAAACCCCTATTCAGAGTTGCTCTCACGATGTCAATCACAGGTGTGTCTGCCTTCCGGAATTTCAGAATCAGATTGTTTCAATATATTTGCTTTGTTCGAACAAATGCCAATTTCATGACTCACCGCAAGAGGACAACGCAGTCTGAAAAATATTTCCATGATTAATTCTTTTGCAAAGCTCAAATAACTACGTCTTGCACGAAGCGTATAAACTTTATATTTTTGATGGGGTGTTTGTTCAGAGATGAACACTCATTGATAGTGGTTAATTAGAATGTTAATTGGAGAAGAAGGTCTTTAATTAAAATGTAATCTTAGGATGACGTTCGAGGATTTCATGAGGAACTTCGAGAAGATGGAAATTTGCAATCTCGGACCCGATGTCATGGACGAAGTCTATCAGGTAACTGATTTCCGTATTGCTTCGAACAACAACTCCTTAATTTTTTTCTGACTTCTTGTCGCGTAAACCTCCCATCAATCTATTGATCAACTAAAACCGAATAGCACTGAGAAAAAATGCCAAGTTATCAAATTATGCGTCTATAACTCATATTTCATCAGACTACAGCGAATTTACGGATTCCCTTTCTTGGAAAAATTGCTTACAAGTAATGTATCGCTTTGAAAGATTCTCTTCATCAAAAATTCTTTCCGTTAAAGGATTAACCTGTGCTCACAAGAATGCTGGTTGTGGGCAAAACTTTCGCTGCTGCCGGGATTCTTACCCGGATCTCTTGCTTTCCGAACAGTTGTGCTACCATTTACGCCACCGGGATACCTTTCTACCCCGGCTTCGATGATAAAACGATTTGTCATTGCTTATCAGCATTCACAATATTATGTGTGAATAATAAGCAATGGTAACTTCACCATCGAAGCTGAGTTGGGGACGAAATGGTGCCCCGGTGGTGTAACTGGTAGCACAATTGCCCGGAAAGCAAGAGATCCGGGTACGAAGTCCCGGCTGGGGCGAAAGTTTTGCCCACAACTCAGCATTCTTGTGATAGATTTCGCTTTACGCAACGCGAACTGCATAGAATAACTTAACCCAATTGAAAATACTCAAATAAATATAAAATTTCCAAAATATTTTGTGTAATAATGGCAGAACTTTAGATGACCGGTGTGCGCACGGCTGGTATGGTGTGGGCCACAAATACCCATGATGGCGCATGGATCCGTAACCAGACCGCTGGCGGTTGCAGGAATTACATTAGTACGTAGAGCACTATGTTCTGCGATCAAAGCCATTTCAATCACATGTATCCAATTCCAGACCACCTTTGCGAATAACCCTCAGTATCGTGTGCAGCTCACCGATTCTGATCCAGACGACGATGATGAGTTGTGTACAGTGATCTTCGCTGTAATGCAGAAATACAGACGAAATCTAAAGGCTCAGGGCCTTGATAACGTCCCAATTGGATTCGCGGTCTACGATGTGAGTACATTCTGCTATGGATTTGAGTTTTTCTGAGTTAAGATTTTCGTTTTCAAGCCCATTGTTGAACAAATTGTACTTGTTATTGGGAAAATGGTGGTGGGAACATTCCTTGCAATAACAAGCATGAGCTCGGCGAATATCCATAGCGATTTGTTGACCTGGAAGTTATCGTTTAAGTTTAATATAGTTTTTGTTAATCAGAAGTACTAAATAATTCGGCAGTGCTGCTAGCGAAGCTTTCGACCAGCTTTCTGCGACCATACCCCATCGGGGATGTCGAAAGGCAGACGTCAGACGGGCCTGCTTCTCTGTCAGTTCTACCCAGTGTGGCTCTACTTCCATGAAGAGCCGAGTACAATTTCAATTTAATTAGGAGTACAAGCCTTAACGAAAAATCCTTAATGCTGGTTCAGCTTGTTTCGAACTCCTTGGTGCAAGCAAGCATACTAATTCGATCATGGATGGTACCTTCAAGTAATTTTCCCACTTTGAATTTCGCCATTGTGGCAGCCTTTTTTTGAAGTCTCCGTTTAATTTCGAACTTTATGAAAAATTTAAAGCAAAATCCATGAAGTTAGAAATCGTGGTGTGAAGCTGGCGCTTATCTTCGTTCAACAGTTCGAAAAGTTAATGGGTATAAATTGTTTGAGAAGTCCTTTTGATATGAGCAATTTCGAATGTTTTCACAATCCTGAAGAGATAGTCTCCTTTACACTATATTTTCATTTTCTTGTAAATACCTTAGAATTGCCTCATATCGTTTTCAGATGATGCTCTCCTCTGTTCGCGTCAACTGCTGTTTTTCTCAGTTTTCAAATAATTATTAATTTTTCTGTCACAATAAGCACGCGGCTACGCGCAGCGCCACCGATCCACTGTAATGATTTGCGATTTGCTTAGATGTGGATTTTGGTGAAGCTCCGATCCTTAGTTGAAGTAGCTGTCTCCCATCGCTGGTTGATGAGTTATCAAAACAATCTGGACCCACGCTGAGCTGCATCGTCACATAGAAATCTAGGTGTTTGCGCTGTACAGTGTCTTATTTCATCGGTAGAAAGGAATCAAAAGCACAGTATCTTTCCGTCAAATTATGAGGTGTTTCAATCTCATTGGCAATCACTGGCTGGAGTCCTGGTAATACTCATGGTGCGATGGTTCTTTAGTTCTCGTGGGCCCCAGCTTATATAACTTGGGACATTAGTTTTATGCACGGTCAACCGTCAGTTGGGGGCTTGTCTGCGATCAAGCCATTTCAATCACATGTATCCAATTCCAGACACCTTTGCGAATATAACCCTCAGTATCGTGTGCAGCTCACCGATTCTGATCCAGACGACGATGATGAGTTGTGTACAGTGATCTTCGCTGTAATGCAGAAATACAGAAGAAATCTAAAGGCTCAGGGCCTTGATAACGTCCCAATTGGATTCGCGGTCTACGATGTGAGTACATTCTGCTATGGATTTGAGTTTTTCTGAGTTCAGATTTTTCGTTTTCAAGCCCATTGTTGAACAAATTGTACTTGTTATTGGGAAAATGGTGGTGGGAACATTCCTTGCAATAACAAGCATGAGCTCGGCGAATATCCATAGCGATTTGTTGACCTGGAAGTTGTCGTTTGAGTTTAATATAGTTTTTGTTAATCAGAAGTACTAAATAATTCGGCAGTGCTGCTAGCGAAGCTTTCGACCAGCGGTCTGCGACACATACCCCATCGGGGATGTCGAAAGGCAGACGTCAGACGGGCCTGCTTCTCTGTCAGTTCTACCCAGTGTGGCTCTACTTCCATGAAGAGCCGAGTACAAGCCTTCCCGAAAAATCCTAAATGCTGGTTCAACTTGTTTCGAACTTCTCCATTGGTGTAGGCATCATAATATGGATGCCGATCCATGATGTCGCTTTCAATTTTGTATTTTGTGATGGTTCCCAATTTTTGAAATTTCGTCTTTGTGGCCAGTCTTATTTGAGGGGGTCTTCCGTTAAATTGGTTCGGAACTTAATGAAATTCTCAACAATATCCAGGAAGTTTGGAATTTGTGGGGATGAAGCTGGCGCTTATAATTTGGATCACACAGACTTCAAAAATGCGGACTTAATGTAGCAAGGGTACTGTGGGTGTACGTCATGCAGCAATTTCAATATTTCACACTTTGAAGGTTTAGGTCTTCGCTTCGACCATTATATTTCAGGACAAACAAGGGGGCGATTTTTTTTGGAAAGCTCAAATAACTACGTCTTGCACGAAGCGTATAAAGCTTTATTATTTTTGATGGGGTGTTTGTTCAGAGATGAACACTCATTGATAGTGGTAATTAGAATGTTAATTGGAGAAGAAGGTCTTTAATTAAAATGTAATCTTAGGATGACGTTCGAGGATTTCATGAGGAACTTCGAGAAGATGGAAATTTGCAATCTCGGACCCGATGTCATGGACGAAGTCTATCAGGTAACTGATTTCCGTATTGCTTCGAACAACAACTCCTTAATTTTTTTCTGACTTCTTGTCGCGTAAACCTCCCATCAATCTATTGATCAACTAAAACCGAATAGCATTGAGAAAAAAAGCCGTTATCTAATTATGCCTACTCTATGACTACAGATTTCATCAGACCACAGCGTCAATTTACAAATTCCCCATCTTGGAAAAATTGGTTACAATTAATGTCCCGCTTTAAAAGTTTCTCTTTATCGAAAATTCTTTCATTAGAGGATTAACCTGTGCAAGAATGCTGGGTGTGGGCAAAACTTTCGCCCCAGCCGGGATTCGTACCCGGATCTCTTGCTTTCCGGGCAGTTGTGCTACCAGTTACACCACCGGGATACCTTTTCACCCAACTCAGCTTCGATGATAAAACGATTTGTCATTGCTTATCAGCATTCACCATGTTATGTGTGAATGATAAGCAATGGTAAATTGACCATCGAAGCTGAGTTGGATGAAATGGTGCCCCGGTGGTGTAACTGGTAGCACAATTGCCCGGAAAGCAAGAGGTGCGGGTACGAAGTCCCGGCTGGGGCGAAAGTTTTGCCCACAACCCAGCATTCTTGTGATAACTTTCGCAACGCGAACTGCGGCGTAAAACAGCAGTTACCCAATAAAAATAATATCTGTGCATTTTCTAAAATATTTTGTGGAATAATGGCAGTACTTAAGATGACCGGTGTGCGCACGGCTGGTATGGTGTGGGCCACAAATACCCATGATGGCGCATGGATCCGTAACCAGACCGCTGGCGGTTGCAGGAATTACATTAGTACGTAGAGCACTATGTTCTGCGATCAAGCCATTTCAATCACATGTATCCAATTCCAGACACCTTTGCGAATATAACCCTCAGTATCGTGTGCAGCTCACCGATTCTGATCCAGACGACGATGATGAGTTGTGTACAGTGATCTTCGCTGTAATGCAGAAATACAGAAGAAATCTAAAGGCTCAGGGCCTTGATAACGTCCCAATTGGATTCGCGGTCTACGATGTGAGTACATTCTGCTATGGATTTGAGTTTTTCTGAGTTCAGATTTTTCGTTTTCAAGCCCATTGTTGAACAAATTGTACTTGTTATTGGGAAAATGGTGGTGGGAACATTCCTTGCAATAACAAGCATGAGCTCGGCGAATATCCATAGCGATTTGTTGACCTGGAAGTTGTCGTTTGAGTTTAATATAGTTTTTGTTAATCAGAAGTACTAAATAATTCGGCAGTGCTGCTAGCGAAGCTTTCGACCAGCGGTCTGCGACACATACCCCATCGGGGATGTCGAAAGGCAGACGTCAGACGGGCCTGCTTCTCTGTCAGTTCTACCCAGTGTGGCTCTACTTCCATGAAGAGCCGAGTACAAGCCTTCCCGAAAAATCCTAAATGCTGGTTCAACTTGTTTCGAACTTCTCCATTGGTGTAGGCATCATAATATGGATGCCGATCCATGATGTCGCTTTCAATTTTGTATTTTGTGATGGTTCCCAATTTTTGAAATTTCGTCTTTGTGGCCAGTCTTATTTGAGGGGGTCTTCCGTTAAATTGGTTCGGAACTTAATGAAATTCTCAACAATATCCAGGAAGTTTGGAATTTGTGGGGATGAAGCTGGCGCTTATAATTTGGATCACACAGACTTCAAAAATGCGGACTTAATGTAGCAAGGGTACTGTGGGTGTACGTCATGCAGCAATTTCAATATTTCACACTTTGAAGGTTTAGGTCTTCGCTTCGACCATTATATTTCAGGACAAACAAGGGGGCGGTGTTCTGTAGATAGTTGAATGCCTCATATCAGTTTGTTCAGAAAGGATGCTCTCCTCTTTTTTGTTTTTTGCGGCACCTGCTGTTTTTCTAAGTTTTCAAATAAGTGGATTGATTTTGCATTTCACAATTAAGCACGCGGCTTTACGCCCACCCACCGGATCGCACGGGTTGTAAATGATTTCGATTTGCTTTAGATGTGGATTTTGGTGAAGCTCCAAGTCTTAGTGCAAGTAGCTGTCTCCATTGTTGGATTGAATGAGCTATCAAAACCAATCGGACCCCGTTGAGCTGGAGCGCACAGAGAGGACTATTGGGGGGTTTACTCGTTACAGTGGCTTATTCATCGTAGAAAGGAACACATCAAAAGCACAGTATCTTTCCGTCAAATTATGAGGTGTTTCAACCTTATTGGCAATCACTGGCTGGAGTCCTGGTAATACTCATGGTGCGATGGTTCTTTAGTTCTCGTGGGCCCCAGCTTATACTTGGGACATTAGTTTTATGCACAGTCAACCGTCAGTTGGGGAAAATTTCGAAATTGGGACGGCCTACTGAAGCGTAACCCCCCCCCACGTCTTCGTACAACCTATCACCCCCTCCTTCCGCACTACCATCCCAAGGTGTCCATAGCATCATGGGAACCTTGCCATCACCTTGACATGCGCTCAAAAATCCCAAAATTCAATTCAAAAAGCGAGAGATCTTTACCGCTCTTATTGCTTGATGCAACCCCTCATTGCCCCTTTCCTTCCTCATCTTTTCGGCTGATAAAAGACCCTAAAGGTTGTGTTTAGAAACCTGCCTTTCTAGTTAAACTTCTAAATTGTACCCACGCAACCGTATTCATCCTTTCCTCAACCGTTCTTTTCTCCATTTTCAAACCCGTGCCACAGGAAATGGTCGTCTAGGGGGAAGGCTTTATTAAAGCGGCTGCGCTCTGTCAGAAGGTAATTCTTGATATTATTGCTGAGCAAAAACTGTTTGCAGGTGTCGGTGAGTCTTCTACGGTTGGTTACAAAAGTGCTGAGTTTTACGTTCCTTCTGTTGCTCTAGATTGTGCTAAACGCTAGAAGTGTTTTAGTTAATTTGTGTGTCTGTGTAGCTAATTGGAACCGAGTGCAGTTCAGATTGAGTAGCATTCTTTATAGTCTCGTTTTCTATGTAGTGCACCTAATTAGCACTAGATATCCCGTTTGAGGTCCTACTACCTACAAGTACTCTATTTCAGGTTCGGTAACGTCCACAGGCTGGTCTGATGCCAAAGGCATTCTCTCCAAGCTACATAAAAGTCTGCCGAAATAGAGAAGTGCAAGCCATTCCATCCAATTAGAGAGAGGTAGGGAGTTATCGAGTTTCAGGACACCGCTTCGGCGATGAAGGAAGACAAGAAGTCAGCGGACGAGGCTGACAGCCGCGCTGCATGTGTTGATGGAGAACTTGCAATGGTACATTTTATTTGACTTTGCGCGAAAAATAAAGAACGCGCTGCGATTCGTCCGTTGTCTCAGCCTTCCTGCCGCGCGACGGGCCTCTTTGTTCGGGTTACCGGACGTTAATTGAATCATAATCCTTTCCATAATTAGAGCTTATGTTCGGATTGATCACACAAAACTCTACTTGGAATCGAGGGGTAAAATCTCCTCTGAACTAATTATATGAACTTTTGTATGTTTGTAGTCATATGCCAGCTGTGTATGAATCGCACCACAAGTATAGTACTTTGAAGTTTCGGTTGTAAGTAGTGAGCATGTTACGGACAATCAAATTCCAACAGTAGTTTATAAATTTTTTGAAACTTGAGGGGTTTGGGCAGCTTGGCTATCGGAGAGAGCAGAACTCGGACTTAGCATATAAAGGCACTTTACACACAGTACAAAAATGGGATGCGTCTGGATCGACCACCACGGCTGTATTTTAAGGACAAATTTTTCAGTATCACTTCAAAATTTGTTCTGAATAATTTGCTCATTTGTTTGTAACTGGTATTTCATGCGATGTCATCAGTTAGTTGCCTGGATGCTAAATCAGCAACGAATTAGTTGCAAGTATTGGAATATAGTAATCATTTAAAGATGACCGGTCGATTCCGTGTGCCGCCAGGCAACTACGTGGTTGTTCCCTCAACATTCGAACCAAATGAGGAGGCTGAGTTCATGCTGAGAATTTATACTAATGGATTTATTGAGTCGGAGTGAGTAATTTCCCGCTTATGATCCGGTATGGGATTGCTTTCTTCTGTCTCGAGGGTGTCTGGTTTGTAAACTCATCAGCTCTCTATTTCCAGGGAGTTATAATTCAATCAGCGATCGTCCATCAAATAAATTCCACAGTTCTCACAGCTTTTGTGTTCGCCTTTCGCAAGTATCTATGTATAGAATTGTCGTTGCATTGTTTTACTAAAAATTTGTATTTTTATGCCCTTCTTATGTAATGAACATTGAATTCCCTTCATACAGTCGCTAAGGAAAGAATCACATGTGTTTCCGATATTGACGGAAGTCTTCCAAATGGATATCTCAAACTTGATCATAATGGTCACAATCCTTCCATCGTCAATCTGCAATCGCGACATTTCTGCGCCAGCAACAGTTGTGGGCCTTGGAATTAACTATTTGCTAAAAGCGCTGTCCAGGAACTAAATTTTGGTGTGCTTCGTATTTGTATGGTAGGAAAAGGAGATGAAGGGCTGTTATCGTTTCTCTAAAAAATCCACCATGTGCTCGAAGCAAGTTATAGGCTATACAGTGCGTTTAATAATTATAAGGTCACCCTAAAATTTTGCATTTCCGGAAAAGCAGCAGACTGGAAATTCTCATCAGCTGATT